GCTTCATAATTTTAAAGCATATCTATCATCTTTTTTTTAATCCTCCTTTAGACTGCGGGATATTATAATTACTTTCTAACATTGTCCACTTTAGTCGGTTACATATCATCGTCAATCTCACGATTTTAAAACATATCTAATAGAGAAAGGTTTTGACACTGTTGTAAGGAATATTTTGTCCCCCTCTCTATTCACGGTGAGATCTCGCATCTTACTAGATAAATTGGAAGAACAAGGCTTATGATTTAGTTCATTTTGTTTGTAACCAATGTGAATACAATAATTTACTTACTACTTGTTGTTACTCTGTCGAGTGAATTTATTGATTATTGGAAGTAGATAACGATAGAGAGCTGGAAATGGTAAAATTAATTAAAAAAATATAAATTAGGTTGTCATCCTCGTGGCTCTTCCAAATTTCCTTTATAAAATGCCTCTCTTTCCCTCTTCTTCTCTAACTCCCATTTCTTCCTCTCTCTCTCTCTTCCTCTTTCTCTTTCTCTCTCTTCCCCAAAACACAACCAAAAACGATGTGTCGTTCAGACCAAGCCTTGGAATCCACTTCCAATCGCCTCCTCCACCGCCGTAATTCCCTTAACAAACACCCTTCCCCCACCCCCAACCTCACCTCCACCTCTGACAGCATTCTCCTTCCGGTCGCCGCTAACGGCGGCTCTCTGTCTCGCCCCCGCCCTGCCTTGGATACGAAGAAATCCAAAAGCTTCAAGCTTGGGGGAAATGGGAATGTGGTTTCTGATAATGCTGCTGAAGTCGCGTCGCCGGGGAGCATCGCCGCCGTGAGAAGAGAACAGGTGGCGCTGCAGCAGGCGCAGAGGAAGATGAGAATTGCCCATTATGGACGGTCTAAATCCGCCCGGTTTGAGAAAATTGTTCCCTTTGATTCTAAAATTAAAGGCGTTGTTGAAGATAGAAGATGCAGCTTCATCACTCCCAACTCAGGTACCCTTCAATCTCCCCTGTTTCTTTATTTCTTTATTTATTTTTTAAATCTCCCCTGTTTTTTTATATTCATAAATTAAAATTTTCCTTGTCAGATCCCATTTATGTGGCCTAAATCTCCCCTGTTTTTTTATATTCATAAATTAAAATTTTCCTTGTCAGATCCCATTTATGTGGCCTATCATGACCAAGAATGGGGCGTCCCTGTTCATGATGACCAGTGAGCTTCTCTCTCTCTCTCTCTCTCTCTCTCTCCTTCCCTGTTTCTCTCTCCTCCATTGTTTTAATCACTGAAGCTTAAATGTGAAAACAGAGCACTGTTTGAACTGCTGGTTCTGAGTGTGGCCCAAGTGGGTTCGGATTGGACTTCAATTTTGAAGAAACGACAAGATTTCAGGTGCAAAAACAACCTTAATCGATCCGTTTAAGATTGTGGGTTGGTCTGTAATTCACTGATTTAGAGTTTTCATCTTCGCCCAGAAATGCATTTTCAGATTTCGATGCAGAAGTGGTGGCGAATTTTTCCGACAGACAGATGGTTTCAATCAGCTCAGAGTATGGAATGGACATAAACAGAGTCCGAGGAGTGGTCGACAACGCAATCCGGATCCTGGAGGTAGTTAAATGAATAATTAATATGTTCTTCCTTTTCCAAACATGAATGAATTAATTAATTAGTGGGTGATTTGTTTAATTTTTAGATTAAGAAGGAATTTGGGTCACTGGAGAAATACATTTGGGGGTTTATGAACAACAACCCATTCTCACCGCACTACAAATCCGGCCACAAAATCCCGGTCAAGACATCAAAATCAGACACCATAAGCAAAGACATGATCCGGCGAGGATTCCGGTCTGTCGGTCCGACCGTGGTCCATTCCTTCATGCAAGCCGCCGGTCTGACCAACGACCATCTCACCACCTGCCACAGGCACCTGCACTGCACATTAATCGCCGCCGGCCGCCGCGCTCCACCGGCGGAAGTGGAGGAGACGGCGACAGGTGCGGCAGGCTCGGAAGCTGTGTAGAACTGGGTGGTTGATAATTAACTATATAACTGTTTTTATTTTATGTTTTTTGTGTGAAAATGTTTGTATGAATAGAAAAGAAAGAGAAAAATGATTTGAGGTTTTAAAGTGAAGTGAGAATGTCGTGTGTTGTTGGTCACTTTGCTTTTGTAAATTCCCATCTCATCCATCCTAATTTCAAATTGTATTATTTTTAGTCTTATTTAGCATTTTATATTCTCGATTAAGTTATCAGATATTCAAATCTGAATAGAATTAGCGGTCGTAGTTAAAAGAATATGAAAAGAACTACCCTACCTATGACTTAGAGTTGAAATCTGAATAGAATTAGCGGTCGTAGTTAAAAGAATATGAAAAGAACTATCCTACCTATGACTTAGAGTTGGCCATCGTAGTGTTTGCACTAAAAATTTGGTGACACTATCTATATAGAGAGAAAATTCAAATTTTTACAAATACGAGAGTTTAAAATATTTCTTCACCCAGAAAGAGTTGAACTGAGACAAAGAAGATGATTAGAACTGGTGAAGAACTACGAAAGAAGATGATTAGAACTGGTGAAGAACTACGACGTAGATATCCAGTACCGCTACAAGTAGACAGAAAAGCTACGCCGATGTAAGACGTAGAAACTTAGAGTTTGAGATTGGGAACCTAGTATTCCTATAGGTGGCACCCACGAAATGTGTCTTGAGATTCGAACGTAAGGAAAAGTTTAGTCTTAGATTCATCGGACATTTCGAGATTCTCGAGCGAATTGGTCCCGTAGCGTATGATGTATGATGATGCTAACAGCGTATGAATTATGTATGATGATGCTATGGTTGTGTACTCACTCAATTTTGATCCAGGATTATGTTAGGACTAGGTGACTAGTCACTAAATTTAGACCTAACCTTTCCTCCATGAGCCTAACAGTGTTAGACTGCTAGATGTGTGAACATGTCAACAACTTCGTGGGGAATAGGAGTTTCTAATCAAAACCAAGAGACCTCAAAACCAATCTAGCTATTTTGCATGGAGAACGAGAGACCCACGTCTACAACCCATTAGCTACATGAGATAAGAGAGGGGTCCCGCCCCCCATGAAGGGGACTATTGTGGACTTGAGAGGTTTCAACTCACCCTTAGGTAAGATGTCATATAGTCTCATAGAGCCATGCATAAGGTAGCATCTCGTAGAGGGACATTAGTCATTCGATATAAGGAACTCTCAGGTATTTAAATGAAAGGACGGAGAACCAAAATAGATTAAAGGCGGGTTTGGAGCCATCAAAAAATGTATTATTCGTTAGCATATATACACATAAACTTTATTAAAATTTTGAACTTTAATTTTTTATCAATGACATGTAATAGTTTATAATACATTAAAAATATATAATTGCAGTACCAAAATAATATGATTGGCATTAATGAATAATTATAACACTATGAATGTGAATAAAGGAAGATGTACATATATATATATTTTTTCATTGTAAACCAATATACATTTGTGTTTTGTTTAAAAATAAAAACGCAATAATCCCCCTCTCTCCATGTTTGTTGAAATTGAATCATTTAAAAAATAAAAAAATAAAAAAAAAAGAATAATGTTACATTATATATGAGTATAATTAATAAGAAGGAAGTAATAAATGAAAGAAAATGGAGAAGTTCTAGGCGCAGTCGGAGGGAGCAAAAGTGACGGATCCCTTGAGTAAATCAAATTGCCAAAGGTAAGTTTGCTGAATAATATTCCCTAAGATATTGATTGACGGAAAGGGCAGAGAAGTTATGGCAATACAGCTACATTGGTATGACGCCGAAACGATGTAGCTCCTATCCGGCGGTTCGAACACCGCCCCGCCTTCGAAATGGAATCCAAGCTTCGGCAACATACCAAAATTCCACTGCGTGTCATTGAAGCAAAGTTTGAAGTTCTTCTCCCTTTCACCCTTTACATCCCTTTCCATTCTTCCGAATTTTTCGATCTTGGGAGCCATCGCTTCTATCACCGCATCGTGAGCCGGCGCCGTCAGCATCGTCAGGCTGGTGCCGGTGTCCAAGATGGTGCCGCAACCGGACTTGATGTTCCAGACGTGAGGGGGGATGTTCAGGATCTGTCCGTCCACGGAGATTCCGGCCAGTTGGACGCCGTAGTAGCAGCTGTATCGGCCGCCGGTGATGAGTCTAGTGGTGGCGGGGGGGCCGATGGGAGAGGATGTGGAGGCGGCGAAGGTCTTGGGGGAGGGGGTGCCGAAGACGAAGTAGCTAATGGCGGTTATATTGCGGAGGTGGTCGGCGAGGCAGTAGGAGAAGCCGCCGCCGACGTTGTTTTCGGCCGCTTTGTAAACGAAGGAGTAGATGCTAGAGCCTAGGCCAATGAGGCCATCGGCTCCGTCCAAGAACTGGCTGTCAGTTATTTCTTCGGTGCAGCCGTATAGAATGTCCTTCAGTTGCTTTTCTTTTCCGTTTGTTAGTCTTACCGTTACCGTCTCGGTTGCGAATATTCCCATCGCGCGGTCCCCACTTAAGTAGCTGTTATTTTTTTTTTAAACAAACCAACCAACATCCATTTATTGTTATAATGGTCCCCACCAAAATTTTATTTAAAAAAATAATAATAATAATATTAATTACTATTAATACCTGTAGGTATAGGAACAAGGGGAGTTAGGGGTTGGACAATCGGGTTGGCCGCCGAGCTCAGAGAAATCCTGGATACACTGCTTGGAGGAACAAGGAATTGGGGAGAAAGAAGATGACTGATTCGCATAAAGCGCGTAAATGAATCTCTCTCTCATTCTGTTACGCATTTTATGGATCGGAGAGGGGTTGCTGCAATCTCCCCTGCACCGCCGGTATCTGCATCTCGTCCACAATAGGTCACTTCCGGTATCTGCAATCATCGTGAACTTCTGCGGCGGCGTTCCCAATTTCAATTGCACGAAAAACTCACTGCTACCGAAATCAGCGCCGGGGTATGTTTTCAATGCTATTGGAGTCTGCGACTGTGGAGGAAGGTTCGAACTCGACGCCTCCTTCTTCTCCTTCTCCTCCGCATTCTCCACAACTTTGGTCCAATTCATGTGGACGGAGATGGCTCGGAGGCGAGATTGATCGTGATATCGAATATCCTTGATGCGATCCTCCATCTTATCCACCTTAATTTCATCATGAAGCCTCTTAACCACTTCCGGATGGTGGCGGTGTATCAGATCCAGCCTCACGAATTCTTTTTCTTCATTATTGGCATCGCTTTCTTGTTTCGGATTATTGGCATTGCTTTGATCGGCGACTGCGACGGTGAGAGGAGAGAAGAAGACGAAGAAAAGGATTAAAAGATGAGAAATCGGCGACATTGCTCATTTCCTGTCAGAGAAAACAGATGAAGCAAGGAGGAAGATGAGAATGGCGGACTTAAAAGGAGGAAGAACATCTATAAACCCTAACCGTAAAACGATAAATTTAGAATCACTTTCTTTTTCTTTTTCTTTTTTTCGATTTTATGGGTATCATTTTTTTACGTGTTCTTCTGTTTTGTCTATTAATATACAGAAAGAAAAGATAATTTAATATTTAAATTATTTTATTTTAAAATATATTTTTATTAGAAACTAAAAAGGAGATTTTAATAATTTACAAAATTTTATGCAATAAAATAAAATTGGAATTATATTTATATTCTTTTTCAGATTTACAAAACAATTATTTAATTAATAAAATAATTTAAATATTAAATTTAAAAATATATATGAAAACTACGTTAAAAGAAAGAAAGGTATGAACTAAAAAGATGATAAGGGAGTTGGAGAGTGGTGGTTAAGAAGGAAGTGGGTGGAAACAGATTAACTATGGCCGCTGCCCTCTGAGCTTAACCTTCAATCTTCTTCCCCTCACCTTTCTTCTTGCCGTTGCAAACGGAATGTCACTGCCATGGTGGACCTCCGCCACTGCCCTTCCCTTTCCCCCTCATACTCGGCTGATTAATCACCATTGCAATCGCCTCCTCCACTCTTACATTCGTCTCGCAAAATCAAGCTCTTCTCCTTCGAAATCCACCGCTCCTAGAGCTCAATTGCTTGACGAATTCATTCAACTCAGCCACAACAAGGTAATCGTGCCTTCTTCTCACTCTGTATCGATAATTTCGTCTCTTTCATGTTCTTAATGGATGAATTTTGTCTTCAATTTGGCTTAATTTGTTTTCTAGGTCTTAGTTGCCGCCGGCGTGTCCGCTGCGATTGGGCAACTCGCGAAGCCTTTCACTTCTGTTCTTTTTTATGGCAGAGAGTTCAACTTTAGAACTGCTTTTGGAGCTGGAGGCTTCCCTTCTACTCACTCCTCTGTTAGTAGCCTCTATTTGCTTTGTATGTTCTGAATTCTTTCGTTAATATAATCACCACCGTCGCTGCTGTTGTTATGCCATGTGTTTCAGGCGGTGGTCGCCGCTGCCACTATTATCGGCGTTGAGAGGTAATCCGCTACTCAATATGCGTTTCTTTGTTGATTGGCTTTCGTTTCTAAGAAGTTATTTTCCTGTTTTTTCAGAATAACTTTTCATGACATTACTTAAGAATATAATCGCAGGGGTCTTGCAGATTCAATTTTTGGCATAACTGTAATTTACGCGTCCCTTATTATGTATGATGCTCAGGCAAGTACGAAGGCTCTTCTTCTTCTTTCTTGTTTAGCGCACGTTCTACTTGTTAATAATCTTCCCGTCTCTTTTCCTGCCATTCTTCTGCGGATTAATGGTGATTTTTTCCCCATTTTCTGTTGTGCTCTGCTAAGTAAATTAATATGAACTTCTATGGATGAGGAACACCGATGGAAAGAGAAACTGATCTCATAATTCTACCATGTGGACTCTGATATCTTCTTTATGCTCTGTATCTTCGAATTTATCTGGCGGACATCCAATGACCAATTTTATTGGGTGAATAATGGATATAGATCCTAAAAAAAGCAATACTAATGAGAAGTGTGAGGAATCGAACGGAGTAAAGCGGGTCAATACCCTGTAGTGAAATTTTCATTCTTAGAGTTCAAATAAGCGAAGTGGGGAATTCGAACCTCTTAACCTCTTGGTCGAGGGCACATCTTTTTAGCAGTTATGCTATGCTCAGTTTGACAATAGCCTTATGTACATCATAAATTCAATTGAGAATCCTAGAGTAGGCTAAACTTCTTTTGATATCTTTATGAGCAATAGCTAAATTAGTTTTAAATAGCACTGTTGTTATACTGTGAAAGTGTCTATGAATAGCACTGTTGTTATAATGTGAAAGTGTCTTATTTTCCTGTTGGCTTGTTTTAGTCTTCTTCAATTCTATGTTTCATGTTGCAGTCTCAGTCATGTTGTTTCGGATATCATGCTAATCAATTATAGCTATATTACATGTTCAGTCGAAGGCAAAACTCAATTATTGAATAAGGTAGGTGAATGATCATAATTGTTAACCGATATTTAATATAAGCGAATATAAAATTCTCAGCTTGGAGTTTGACCCCATTGCAAGAGTATTTGATCTGCACTAACAATTATGGTGTATTATGATTGTAACGGTCCAAACCCACCACTACCAGATATTGTCTTCTTTGGGCTTTCCCTTTCGGGCTTCCCCTCAAGGATTTAAAACGCGTCTGCTAGGGAAAGGTTTCCACACCCTTATAAAGGGTGGTTTGTTCTCCTCTCCAACTAATGTGGGACATCACAATCCACCCCCCTTCGGGCCAGCGTCCTCGCTGGCGCTTTTTCCTTCCTCCAATCGATGTGGGACCACCCCCAATCCACCCCCTTTGGGGCCCAGCATCCTTACTGGTACAGTGTCAGCCTTCTCGTTGTTCCCCGAAGCGGGGTAGACACGAGGCGGTGTGCCAGTAAGGACGCTGGGCCCCAAAAGGGGGTGGATTTGGGGGCGGTCCCACATCGATTGGAGGAAGAAAAGAGTGCCAGCGAGGACGTTGGGCCCCGAAGGGGGGTGGATTGTGATGTCCCACATTGGTTGGAGAGGAGAACAAACCACCATTTATAAGGGTGTGGAAACCTTCCCCTAGCGGACGCGTTTTAAAGCCTTGAGAGCAAGCCCGAAAGGGAAAGCCCAAAAAGAACAATATCTGCTAGCGGTGGATCTAGGTCGTTACAATGATAATTTTATCCTTCCTGGACTTTTGCTCTGATCATTGATGCGCACAAGGTTCTTTCCGGTGATATCTGAGAATGGGAAGTTGCAGTCTCGAAGGAAGTGAATTAGTGGTTTGGTCGCTGGAAATGATAAGTATGTTTATGTCTGGATGTATGTGTATATATGTATTCATGCAATACATAACAGTTAGCAAGTGTAGAGTTTAGACTCAGTAACCTCAATTCTACTGTTTATCAGATAATTGATGAGGTTCTAACAGACAGGCTTAAATGGTTCTTCCCTCTGTCAAATCTACTTCTGTTGGCTGTGGCAAATCATAGACCTCATCTGAATGGCAAAAAAACTGGTCGATGATTCCTAAAGAAGAAACAAAAGGGGGTGATTTTTGAATTGAATCTTGAGAAAATTTATGATAAACCTGATTGGCATTCCCTTGATTGTCATCCTTCAAGTCGGAGGCTTTAGGAAAAGGAGGAGAAAGTGGTTATTGGCTATGAGTTGAGCACCAGCTTCTTGATCATTGTTAATCAGACCACCCGGAGTTTGTAAGCTTCTAGAGATCTTTGTCAAGAGTTCCCTTTTTCTGTTTTCTTTTAGTATTTGTAGCAGTCTAGAGGTGTAACCGCCCAAACCACTTGCAGATATTGTCTTTTTTGGGCTTTCTTTTCTAGGCTTATCCTCAAGACTTTAAAACGTGTTTACTAAATAGAGGTTTTCACACACTTATAAGAAATCCTTCGTTCTCCTCTCCAACTAACGTGGGATCTCACAACCCACCCTTTTTTAGGGTCCAGCGTCCTCGCTGGCACACTACCCGGTGTCTAGCTCTAACATCATCTGTACCCGTCCAAGCCCACCACTAGCAGATATTGTCCTCTTTGGACTTTCCATTCTGGACTTCCCTCAAGGCTTTAAAACGTGTATACTAAGAAGAGGTTTCCACACCCTTATAAAAAATGTTTCGTTCACCTTTCCAACTAATGTGGGATCTCACAAGAGGTTTGGAGGTTGGTAGGGTGGAAGTCCCTCGGGTGGCACGAGCTCCCACTCTATCAGTCATTTACGGTGTACTTAAGATCTTTAAACTTTTCGGCCTTCAGCATAAATATTAACTTGCTCAAGTAAAATGTGGTCGGAATTGATTATTTCTCTAGGAGGCAGTGAAAATACTTATGTGGGAAGCTTGCCTGTGATCTTGGGCTGCTTCTTCATGGAAACCAAGATGTTGTAAGCCTTCTGCGATACTGTGATTGAAGAATTTTGCGAATGGGAAACCTATCTCTTTGAGGCTCACTTGACGGCCCTTTCTAGACTCCCTATATACATTCCTTCCTTTTTTAGAATCTCCTGTAGTATTAAAAACACTATAACCTGCTCTTTTTGGTATCAGTAAGAGTAATCAACAACAAAATTTCTTATTTTGCAGGGAGTCAGAAGAGAAGTTGGAAAACATGCTAAAGCAATCAACACACTATTGCAAACAAAGACACCTGTGAATTCATCCTTTTCCTACAAAGATCAGGATCGTCGAGTCAACTCGCAACTGGAGAGCAGCAGTCCCCTGTTATCTGAGGAAGGAACCAGGGCCTTGACGGTACTGAGTCCATTTAAGGAGGAGGATATCGCATCGTCGAGCTCGGAAACTGATGTGGAAGAAGGGTCAAGAAGGGAGGGCAGTGAATGGAAGTCATTCAAAGAATCAATAGGCCACACTGAGATTGAAGTTGCAGCTGGAGCTTTGTTGGGTTTCACGGTTAGTCTGATAACTAACACATTATTGTGATTTATAATATTGATCTCACAAATCAACTGTATCTATACAAAGTCCCATTTTCTGTGTCAAAGCTAAACTCGAATACGATAATTTAATGAGAAATTTATTATGTAGAGCCACGACACGAGACTCGACTAGTGGACTAAATTTATGTAAAACCACGACATAAGATTTTTCTGGGTAAAAGTGTTAATACTATTTTGTATGTATTTTTTTAAATATAGTACAAAATTGGAGTGTATTGTTGAGTTTAAGGGTATTTTTGAAACAAAATACAATGATTCTCATCGGAAATTAATAAATTAATCGTAACAATATTTTTAAATTTTTTTTTTAATTTAAGGGTATTGATGAAATTTTTTAATAAAAATTTAATAAAATATAAAGTTTGAAGTTATTTTTATTTAGTTTTTCTTTTTTTAATTTTGGACAAAGACTATTTTATTCCTAAAAGAAAGTTGAGTAAATTTATTAAACAATGATTAAATTAGAATTTTAAAATAACAAAAAATTAAAAAAATCATACCGAATAAATTTATAATTTAATTCAACATGTAATAATAGTAATAATAATAATAATAAAATACCCATAAATTTTGGAAATAAGTTAGAAAAAATGAATTTAATCTGAAAAAAAGAACTTTTTAAAAAAAATTATAGGATTAAATCTGTAATTTAGCAGAAAATATAATCATAATAAAATAATAACCAGAAAATTTTGGAATAAACTGTCGCAGATTTTTGAAACGCTGAATTTAGCGTTTAATAAAATCAATAATTTGTTGTAGCCGTGGCGTTGTTATGATCTCAAACTCCAAAGATAAACCATTATCTGTTTCAGTTGTCGTTCTGCAATGGACCACGACGGGCCTCTCCAATTTCTTCAGCTTCTGCTCTCAATCTTCCTTTATTCAACCAATTAATGTAATAGCCGAAGACATTTTCGTCTTCGATTCAAAGAAAAGATGATACTACGCTCAGAAGCGTCCTCTGTTTTCACGATTTCCTCCACGGTTACCGATAATCAGACGTATAAGTATCACCGGCGGAAACTTCAGCTTCGTGATTATGGCGGAGTTAGTTTTCATGTTCGATTCTGTAAACTTTTAACTCCAACGGCCGCTGTCATGGCCGTTTCCAGCGGCGGAACTCTCGCTTGTAGGAAATCTAGGAGTCGTTTCATGAACGTTAGGTCTTCTGCTACTGCCTCTGACTTGTCCTCCTCCATTCAGCCGCCGGATGTTCCAACGCCAGGTTCAGGTCCAGATAAGGTCAGTCTGTTCTTGTGTTGTTTAATTTCTTTCTGCTGATTGCTTGTGGAGAATGACTTTGAGCGTGATTCTGGATGGTGAAGAATGAGGAAGCTCAGAGGCCTGGACCTGATCCGAAAATTCTGCTGAAGAGGTTTTGGAAAGTTGCTGCTCCTTATTGGTTCTCGGATGACAAAGTGCAAGCTCGATGGCAACTGGCTGCTGTCTTCGCTCTGACCTTGGGCACCACCGGCATCAGCGTTGGCTTCAATTTCCTCGGCCGCGACTTCTACAACGCTCTTGCTAGTAATTCTTCAGTTCATTTTCCTTCTTACAATCGACAGTATACAAATGCTTGTTCCATTAATTAACCTCGTTATTTTCATATTCACATTTTCGCCTCCGTAACGGGTATCTCGAACAGACAAGGACCAAGAACAGTTCACTAAGCAACTCCTGTACTACCTTGGTGCCTTTGCTGGAGGTATTCCGGTGAGCACACTGGCCTCCTCCCCCCACTTTCGCTTAGGTACTGTTCTACTAGTCTACTCTGTTTTACCACATTTAAAAACAAAGGAATAGGATGCTATTAGTCTCTACACTTTTGATCTTCTAGCGTCTTGGATGGGTGTTAGTGTTGACAAAGGTTTTGTTATGTGGAGGAAGAGATTGTATTCTATTTTGGAGAGTTCTTATATCGCCATACATGTACCAAATATTAAATTATGAATCTACGGGAAGGAGTACAGACCAATTACTCCTTACCTAAGCTCACTTTGGCAAAAGTAGTTTAATTATTCACACATTGACTCTATTTCAGTAAGAAGTTTATGCATCAAAGACTCAGTCCTTATATATCTACACACACGCCCCTAAATGTTTCTATAGCCTAGTGAGAGTAGAGCATTTCGTCCAATGCTTTTAATGTTGTCTTCAGAATAAAAATGTTGGCTTCATTTATCAGTAAGAAACATTTCGAAACAGAAAAGGACAGCACTTGAATTTTCATCAGTATATACCGTTTAACGTATAATTTATTTACGTAACTCTTCTCATGGGTAATTTAACTATAAACATCTCATCTGTGTTACCTGACTTGAATTCACTGCTTTACAGGTTTTTGTATTGAGAGATTATGCAAAGGACATGCTTTCCCTTAGATGGAGGTCATGGATGACAAAACATTACATGGAACGTTATTTAAAGAACCAGTCTTTCTATAAAATTCAGTCCCAATCCATTATTGATAATCCGGACCAGCGGATTGTTGACGATCTCAGTTCTTTCACAGGGACAGCTCTGTCATTCTCTTTGGCACTTTTCAATTCTACTGTGGATTTGATTTCATTTAGTAATATCTTGTATGGTATCTATCCACCATTGTTTGTCATTCTTCTTTTGTATTCGATTGGAGGAACGGCAATTAGTGTTTTCCTTGGAAAGGTGAACTTCCTTGGCTGATTTTGTAATGATTTTTTCTTTTCCTGGAAACTTTATCTAGCCAGACTCTTTTTAGCTTTAACGTCCATTTATTGCAGGGTTTGGTTAATCTAAACTTCTTGCAAGAAAAGAAAGAAGCAGATTTTCGCTATGGACTTGTTCGCATTCGTGAAAATGCTGAATCAATTGCTTTTTATGGTGGTGAAGAGAATGAGATGCAGCTTATTCTGCAGCGTTTCAGAAGTGCTGTTGAGAATTTGACTGTAAGTATTTTAATAGCTGGATATGTCTATATCTCAAAGTGCTGTTTCATGTCGAGCGATTATTTCAATTTCTAATATAAGTTTCCTAATATCTTACTATTACCTTGTCAGAATAAAAAATACGAGTACGTCTATGGTATTATCTGAACTCAGGGTTACACGTAAATTTGTATTACATTGGATCTCAATGTTCACGTCCTACACAACTTTAGATATTTCAAGCTTTGGGCTTTTAATTTTGATACAAGATAATCTATGTCAAAGCTCAACATCCATTTTGTAGTAGTTAGTATTCTAATGTTGGATATTTTTTGTCGTAACCATAGTTGTGCTTCTTCACCTCTGTGGGTTCTTACCGTATTCTTTCAATATGCTGCATTACAGAAATTATTAATAGCATCCAGAAATCTTGAGTTCTTTACCAATGGTTACCGCTACCTCATTCAAATTCTTCCGGCTGCAGTTGTTGCCCCAATGTACTTTTCTGGGAAAATCGAGTTTGGTGTTATTAATCAATCAGTATCTGCTTTTAATCACATCTTTGGGGATTTTTCCATCATTGTATTCCAGTTTCAGGCCATCAGTGCTTTTTCAGCAATTATTGATCGCTTAGGTATTGTCCTCTTTCCTTTATTTCTTGCATGGATATATTCCTTCCCGATGAAAGATTCTGAAAGGGGAAGCAGTCTGGACAACATAGTAGCATACATGCATGAGGACTAGATATAGATCTACTTGGAATCTAAGAGAAGGATATTCCTGTGTGATTCAAGTAAAATTCGAAAGTATATAGAGTACATTTTTGTGAATGCATCTATCCATCTTTGTTTTAGGTCATGTCAAAATTACTTTAGCCTTTTTTCACCATTTCAGTATTATTTCACTCGTATGGTGTTATATACTTTTTTTTTTTTTTTTTTTTTTTTTTTTTTTTTTTTTTTTTTTTTTTTTTTTTTTTTTTTTT